CCCAAAACCCCAAAACCCCAAAACCCCAAAACCCCAAAACCCCAAAACCCCAATTTCTTTATAAAAATTTGATTCCTTTTTTATAAAATTATAAAATGATTAGTAAATCGTATTTGAGGTTAAAGCCTATAACTTTGATGAGGGCCACAACCAGGTCTATTAGCAGCTATGACGATGTACCCTCCAAGGTCGTCCTGAATAAGGACTTCATGAAGGATGAACAAGGAAATTACCTCGTCACTCTTCTCAAAGGGCACGGAATCGGCCCTGAGATCAGTAGAAGTGTAAAACAAATTTTCCAAGCTGCAGGTGTCCCAATTACTTGGGAAGAACATGAAGTTTATAGTAGAGCCATGAATAAGGAAGGAGATCTGCTATCTTCTGAGACTATCAACTCTATTAGAAGAAACAAGGTTGCTTTGAAAGGCCCTTTCATGACTCCTATCGGTAAAGGATTTAGATCTCTTAATGTGACCCTCAGGAAGAAGCTTCAGCTGTATGCAAATGTACGTCCATGTCGTACTATTAAAGGAATTGATAATATATATGATAACGTAGATTTAGTCACCATCAGAGAGAATACTGAAGGAGAGTATATGGGGCTCGAGCACAGAGTAGTTCCAGGAGTCAGCGAGAGTATCAAAATTATTTCTAGAAGAGCCTGATTGAAAATAGCTAGATATGCTTTTGAGTATGCTATCAGGAACAATAGAAAAAGAATCATTGGCGTTCATAAAGCAGGAGTTATGAAGAAGGGGGATGGTCTCTTCTTGGAATGCCTCAGAGAAATAAATGAAGAGTATCCAACAATTCAGTATAGCGAGAAGCAAGTTGATACTATGTGCATGAAGTTAGCCATGAATCCACAAGACTGAGATATGATGGTCATGCCTAATCTGTATGGAGATATTGTCTCAGATCTTTGTGCCGGACTTATTGGAGGTCTTGGACTGACAGCTTCTGGAAATATTGGAGCAGAGGCAGCAGTTTTTGAAGCAGTACACGGTACTGCCCCAGATATTGCTGGCAAAAATCTTGCTAATCCAACAGCTTTGTTGCTTTCCGGATGCATGATGCTAGATCATATGGAACTCTATGATCATGGAAATACTATTAGAAATGCTATTTATAACACTATTGAGGAGAGAGATAACTTAACAAGAGATCTAAAGGGAGCTGGATCAACTACACTCTTCACTGAGGCAGTTATTAAACGTATCGAAAATAAAACAGATCCTGAAGCTAAGGAGTACTCTTTTGCTGAATCTAAGGATACCAAAATTGATGAAGCACCCCAATAGTCAAGATCAAATAAAAATTACGACCAAAAATATTTTATAAAATTAAGGGGTTTTGGGGTTTTGGGGTTTTGGGGTTTTGGGGTTTTGGGGTTTTGGGGTTTTGGGG